TATTGTTAGTTTCCTGAGGAACCTCCACACTGTTTTCCAGAGGGGCTGTACCAGTTTACATTCCCACCAAAAGTGTAGGAGGGTGCCCGTTTCTCCACATCCTCTCCAACATCTAGAATTCTCTGATTTGCTCTTTTTAGCCACTCTGACTGGTGTGAGGTGGCATCTCAGTGTGGTTTTTATTTGTTTTTCCCTGGTGAGGAGGGATGCTGAGCATCGCTAAAACACATTCTTAAATAAGACCACTGCATTTTGTGGTGGTGGTGTTTAAGATGAAAATGAGTTTTCATTATAGTAGTTTTTTTTAATACAACTTAATTTTAAGGCAAATAGATCATTCATGTTTTGTTAAGGGAAGTTAAACTTTAGTGATGGAATTTGACTCTGACAATTTATGAATATCACATTCAGTGCCAAAGATTTTCCTCAGAGCAGTCTTCATCTCCTTGTTCCTGAGGCTATAAATTAGAGGATTACAGAGGGGTGTTATCACAGAATAAAACAAGGTCACAATTTTCTGCATTTTCACTGGGTGACCTGATCCGGGACTAATATACATCACCATAACAGAGCCAAAAAACAGGATCACCACTGCCAGATGAGAAGCACAAGTGGAGAAAGCCTTGCGTTTGCCTGTTGCTGAGGGCATCCTTAGCACAGCCACAATCACCAGAGCATAGGAACAAAGAACAAAGAGAAAGGTTCCAATCATAAAAATAGCATTGCAGGTAGAATAAATGAACTGTGTGGTGGTATCTTCAGAACAGGACAGCATCATCAATGGGACGGGATCACACACGAAATGGTTAATGGTATTTGGGCCACAGTAGGGTAAGTGTGAAATGAGAACAACTGGGGTTAGGAAGACGATGAACCCGCACGACCAACCGAAGATGGCAAGGCCAGTGTATAGCTGTTTCGTCATGATGTGTGGGTAATGCAGAGGACGACAGATGGCAAGATACCTGTCAAAGGCCATGATTCAAAGGAAGAGGCCCTCATCACATCCCAAAGAGAAGAAGAAGTAGAACTGTGCAAAACAGTTCACAAAGGAAATGGACTTGCTTGTGGACAGGAAATTGGCCAACATGTTAGGGACGGTCGTGGTGACATAACATATTTCCAGGAGAGAGAAATTCCCCAAGAAGATGTACATGGGAGTGTGAAGACGCCGGTCCCACCTCACTGCACAGACAATGGCTGCGTTCCCCATGAGGGTCAGGGTGTAGACTACTGAGAAGAGCCCGAAGTAGAGGAGCTGCATTTGTGGGCTTGAGGGAAAGCCCATGAGGATAAAGTGGCTAACGGAGCTGGTGGCTTCTGTGCTGGACACATTCATTGGCCTGGAAGACATGGAGATGACTCGGTTATAGCACCCTTGATGGAGTATGCTGGTTCTTTCTGAAAACACTAGATTTCTTTTTTTTTAATTTCATAAACTAGTAAACAGACTTTTGCTTAAACAACAAAACTGACTTCTATGACTCAGTCCCTGAACATGTGATAGAAGTCACAGTAGTAGAAAAGAAGGAAAACATGAATTTGAGACAAATTTTTCCCTTTCTAAATATGCTAGACTAGATACTAGGAATGTAAGAGTAGATACTCAGAATGCAGTCTTGTAGATCTGATAAAATACCTATATTAGTTTACTTTTTCATAAATTTATCTGCACTATTGATACCACTTTTCTGTGCATGTGAGTATATTTCAACAGTTTGTGCACACTTGATTCTTTATGATTTATAACTGATTTAATAAAAAACTAAATCACTATGCTTTAAGAATCTAAGTGTAGTGGCATTACAGGGCACAAACTAGTATTTATTTTCAGTTTCAGTTCCTCCAGGTTGCTCATGGTGTTTCAAGTAACCTAAGAAAACCTCAATTATTCCAGGATTTATTTATTTATTTTCTGATACTTAAGTATTCATACCAGTATAAAATTTAGTATAAAAATTCTTCCTTGGGGCGCCTGGGTGGCTTAGTCGGTTAAGCGTCCGACTTTCGCTTGGGTCATGATCTCGCAGTTCGTGGGTTCGGGCCCCGCATCGGGCTCTGTGCTGACTGCCAGCTCAGAGCCTGGAGCCTGTTTCAGCCTGTGACTCCCTCTCTCTCTGACCCTCCCCTGCTCACGCTGTCTCTCTCTCTCCTAAAAAAATAAATAAAACATTAAAAAAAAAAATTCTTCCTTTGCTTTTTATGCAACTGAATGCACTATATAGTGTGATAAAGAGTCCTATCGCTTGGTCTCTAATTTTCTAAATTACTCTTGCTAAATATTTGATTTACTTCTATGTGCATACATGAACCAGGTATGCCTGTAATGGCAATTGACTTGGGGGGGAAGCAGCTAGTTTGAATCACTGTGTCCAAGTTCATTGTGCCTATACTTGTACTTACGGTCAAGTTGGCTGTAAGAAAAAGTGGAAAAATAGGTTTTATATTTTTGTGAGGATTTCCATATTCTTTTTTTTGCTCCCTGCCCCTAGCCCTTTTCCACATGTTCTTTTTTTCTTTCTTTTAAACAGAATTTTGGTATCTTTTTACAACTCGCTAAGCCCCATCTAGGCTTTTCATATCTGGGCAAATCTGAAACAATGAGCTTACTTCTCTATGTGGCTACTTCTATCCCAAGTAGCTGTTATTAAATCAAACCTCAATTCTCCTGTTTCCTCAGTACCTTTACCCTGACCTTTTATATTAAGCAAAGTAATTCATTCAAAAATATTTATTAAGCTTCTTCATTGTATTAAGTGGTCTTTAAAGTGCTGAAGAAACAGTTGTGGTATGACAGATCTTGCACTTATGGAACTTACAATCAAGAGATTAACAATAAGCTTTTAATATATTTTTTTGCTAAATTTTTATTTGTTTTTTCCTCCTGGAAATATTTTTGCATTTTATAAGGAATAATTTAATAAATATTTAATAAATAAAGATTTTTCAAGGTAGAAATCCAAGACTCTGATTCAGGGGAATCCTGGACTTATTTGTGTAAAGGTCAGATCATATAGATGGCTGACTCTTTTGTTTGACCATTGAGATGGCATCTAGATTGGAAGGACTACTATTTATAGATTCTCTTTGCCCTGAAATTGTATAAATGGTTGTAGAAGGTCAGGTCAGCAAAATCTTTGGCTCTGTTGGTTTTCTAAAAGCACTTTATTAATGTTTTTAAAGAAAGAACTCATTCACACAGGGCTTTTGAGAAATCACATCTCCAAATTCCTTTTTGAAAGATTTATTATTATTACCATTTTTATTTTTTTAAATTTTTAAATTTTTTAATAGTTTATTGTCAAGGTGGTTTCCATATAACACCCAGTGCTCATCCCCACAAGGGCCATCTTCCATGCCCATCTCCCTCCTCCCCGCCACACCAATCCGTCCTCAGTTTGTTCTCAGTATTCAAGAATCTTTCATGGTTTGCCTCTCTCCCTCTCCCCCACCATTTCCCCCCTTCTTTTCCCCCTTGTTCCTCTGTTAAGCTCCTCCTAATCCTCCTATACGTGCAAACATATGATATTTGTCCTTCTCTGCCTGACTTATTTCACTCAGCATAACACCCTCAAGGCCCATCCATGTTGCTACACATGGTGGCCAGATTTCATTCTTTCTCATTGCCATGTAGTATTCCATTGTATTATTATTATTGAAGTATAATTGACATAGTGTTATATTAGTTTCAGGTGTACAACATAGTGATTTGATAATTTTCTACATACTGCAATGCTTACCATGATAAGTGTAGTTCCCATCTGTTACCAACATGTTATTACAATAGTATTGACTATATTTTCTATGTTGTAATTTTTATATTCCAATGGATTGTCATTTTGTCCTTTAGACATTCCTATGGTTCTGTTTAGGACCTAGTGTCATCATCTCAGTTGAATTATTCAGAGGTAGGTCATTTACAAAAGATTTGTTTCAAATAATTATTGACACTTACCCTTCTTATTTTAGAATATTTCCTGAAGATAGTAATTGTCCAATGAGTTTGTGGTACATCCTGCATGCATAACAAAAATAGTAATAAAAACTCAACATGCTGGAAGCTTTTGTCACCTCAGAAAGAATCCCCATTAAACCAGGTTTCATTAATGTAATAGAACTGAAAAGTAATATGTGGGCCTGGGAAAGAAGATATCACTGGAAAGAGAAATTTGCCGAATTTACTCACCAAGTAACAAAAATAATCAAAATAAGTCCGTCCCTAGCAATTCAGTTAATATACATCTTCACGTGAAATCCTAAGCCTCTTGTATATATCTCTTATTTATCTTTTAGGGTGATACACAAACTAAGTGAAAAATATTCTCTCAAATTCAGGGAAACAAGACGGAAGTTAATATTTTTAGGTTTTGTTTATTTGTCAGTATTTCATTCTAATGAAATATTTTCAGCTTTTTCAAAGATAAGAAAAAATTTCCTATGAAATTATTTTTGCAAAAATGTTGAGTACATGTGACTCACATGTTATACAGTTTCCACTTACTCCTTGGATGAATGCTGAGAAGAGGGCCACAGACCAGACATAAAATATTACTCCATCGAGCAAAAGGCATGTGAAGGACTTCCAAGAAATTGGATGATCCAGTTTGTAATCTCTCATGGATCGCAAAAAGTGAACCCTACAAGGTATTTTTTCTCTAGTTTCAAAGCACATGGTTATGTTAAAAATGAAAGCCCAGATGAATGTATTATATATGTCGACTTTCTTGCGTCATGACCTTTTGGGATTTGGGATTTATCCTCTTGACGATTTGATAGTATTTGTTGAAAAGAGGAGATAATTTTTGAATTTTCACTTATTTATAATTAAACACCAAGTCTTAGTATTCCACAAGGTATAGTCAAGATACAGAATTAATTCTATCTTTTCTTTTCTCTAGTAGTCATATATTGTCGACGGTTTTGGGGAAATAATTAGTCATAATAGGGATTGTCATAATAGCGGCAATAGGAACCTCATTGGAATCCTTTTGTCTATTTAGAAGAAGAAATCGTTCTTTAACCATCAAATGTCTGTACATAAGTAGTTTGTTAAAGATATCTGAGGTACGTTTTATGTAGAGCAGAAAGAATTGCTCCTTAAACTTATAGAAACAAAGGGTAGAATGGGGATCCTAGGACTAGGAGATAAAGGAAACGAGATGATGTTGGTCAAAGGGCACAGACTTCTAGCTATAAGATGAATAAGTTCTAATGTACAGCATGGTGATTATAGTGAACAATACTGCATTATATACTTGAGAGTCACTAAGAAAGTAGATTTTAAGTATTCTCACTATCAAGAAAAAATCTAATTATGTGAGATGATGGAGGTGTAAACGAACCTTACTATGGTAATCATTTCACAATATACACCATGTTATAATATTATACACCTCAAACTTACACGATGTTATATGTAAACTATATCTCAGTGAGGCTCGAAAAAATTGGTAGCTCAAGGAATTTAATTGGTATTCTGTTATTTAAAAAGTCTTTACTGAATACTTAACAGGTGCCAATCAGAATTTAAGATCCCAGGGATATTGTATGAAACAAGCATAAGACTCATGTCTTCACAGTATGTATATTCTTTTGGGGGGAGAAGGAAATAAATAACACAAATAAGGCAATCATATAGTATTATTCAGAAATAATTTGGATAAAAAATAAGGTAGGGAGTTGGGGGAGAATGTTAGAATGGGGGGATTTTGTGATTTTAACTATGTTGGTAAAGAAATCCTCACAGAGAAGGTGACATTTAAACAATATCTTAAAAGTGAGAGAACAAACTATGTGGATATCTGGGGGAGTTGCATTTTAGGCAGAAAGAATAGTCAGTCACAGGAACCAGACACAGAAGAAAGCATAATATGATGGAGAAAGAGCAAAGAGGCTAGTGTGGCAGTGGGAAAAGTAGTAGGAGAAGATGGCAGAGAGGTAGGTAACAGGGTGAAGATAGATCCCTCAGAGACTTACAGGCTATTGTAAAGACTTTAGATTTCACTGTTAAGAAATGGTTAGTGGAGGTATTAGGGCACAGAATAAATTTTAAAACATTGTGTTTTAAAGTTTGTATATTGTAATTATATAGCTTATTGAATTATTAAAAGTGTACACATCCATTTAACCACCCACCTCAGTAGAACGTTACCTCACATCTCAGAAGCCTCATTGTCATCTTTCCTGGTCCTACTTCTTTCTCCAGAGTAACCTCTATCTCTACTTTTATTACCATCAATTTGCCTGTTAAGGTGGTTTGGGACTTTCTTGATGATTTAACAGTTTTTTTCAAAAAAGGAGATAATTTTCAAAATTTCATTTAATTAGAATCAAACACCA